TCTGCAAACTAAACTACATTTAACACAAAATGTTAAAACTAAAAAGGACTAAAATAAAATAATCTACGTAAAATACCAAACTGCGGAGTTCATGTGTGATACTATTTTGTCTGTCTCTTACAGTAAGATATTACATAGTTGTTATATGCTTGCACGAATCCCGGGATAACTATAACTAACTAACAGATAAACAGATAAATTAAGTGGAACCAAAGAGCGATATTCCACCAGACTCCATTAGTTGGCAGCAAAGCAGCACATGCGATTAAACGCAGAGGAAGACCAGTGTCAGCTGATGGAGCACATCAGGTGCTGTTTACTCTGGACTTGTTTCTTCTGTCTGGTACCGTTTATCCGCCCTCTTACCCCGGCAGGTGGCGATGGCCCGGACCTATCACTAACATGTCGATCACATGAGCTCCTCTGCAGCCAGGAGTTCAGTGTAGGTGACTTCCATGTGTGTGTAAGAGAGAGAAAGAGAGATGTGTTTGTGTGTGTGTGTGTAAGGGCGAGAAAGAGAGAGGTTTCTCTATGTGTGTGTGTGAGAGAGATTTATCTGTGTTAGTGTGTGTGTGAATAGATCTGTGTGTGTGTGTGTGTGTGTGTGTGTGTGTGTGTGTGTGTGTGTGTGTGTGTGTGTGCCAGTCATCTGGCTGAATCAGTACAGACTCTGACTCTAGAGGGACACCTACTGGTAGAACAAGACTTGACATGCCGGGTTGGTTTTAGATGGATTCTTATGTTCCTGAGTAACTCTGCTCTTCTTTAGCTCGTCTTTACAATCACAGTTTGAGGATTTTTGCACGGCTGTTCTTGCCAGCCACCCTCATACAGGTCCATTGTCAAACACCAGCGGCAGAAGCCAGACATCCAGCCAAGGTGGTTGATTGTCATCCTCCATCTGTCAGCAGCTCAGCCAAACCTCTCAGTCAGTCACCAGCTGCCAGTCTGAACACAGCTAGTTAGCTCAGCCTCTGGCTCTTTGTCACTTTGTCACCCTCTTCTTCTTTTCGTGCATTTTCTTCTGCCATGTCAGCATTTGCCCTCTTTTTCATCTGTCAGGTTATCAAACAGTTGATGAAGAAGGAGTTCACCCTGGAGTTCTCTCGTGATCGCAAGTCCATGTCTGTCTACTGCACCCCTGTCAAGCCCGGGTCCCAGAGCAAGATGTTCATCAAGGCACGGCTGAATAACACGAACTCAAATAATCACAAATTTCATTTCATTTGAACCATTTTTTTAATGTTCTTCTTTTGCCAATTGCATTGTGACCCCTCAGGGTGCGCCCGAGAGTGTGATAGAGCGGTGCGAGTACGTACGGGTGGGAAACAGAAAAGTGACGCTGACACCAGCCGTGCGCGACCAGCTCATGTCTAAGATCAGAGAATGGGGGACGGGCAAGGACACCCTGCGCTGCCTGGCGCTGGCTACGCACGATACTCCGCCACGCAAGGAAAACATGGAGCTGGAGAATTCCAGCAAGTTTGCAGAATATGAGGTTCGCCACAAGATTTCTCTATCCAAACATCACAGCTTAGAAGTCCTTTTGTTCCCACATTGAATTGAAATAGGCTTTGTTAAGTTTAATGAGACAATTGGGTACTAGTTTGCTTAGTAGTAGTTAGTACTTTCTACACTTTGGTCTTCGCTCCAATAGTTTCTTTGTTCTTTAGGAAGAATTTGGATCGGATGTTTTTTGGCAGCAGTAACAGTAGAAAGCTGTTCCTGATGTGGTCCTGCGTAACCTAACCACCCTGATGCTGTTTGTTTTCCGTGTAGCTGGGGCTCACATTTGTTGGCTGTGTGGGCATGCTCGACCCACCCAGGAAGGAAGTGATCGGTTCAGTGAAACTGTGCAACGAGGCAGGTATCCGTGTTATCATGATCACAGGGGACAACAAGGGCACGGCCGTGGCCATCTGCAGACGGATCGGCATCTTTGAAGAGGACGAGGACGTGACGAGAAAGGCCTATACAGGCCGCGAGTTTGACGATCTACCGCAGGAGGTGCAGAGAGACGCCGTCAAACGGGCACGGTGCTTTGCCCGCGTGGAGCCGGCTCACAAGTCCAAGATCGTTGGATACCTGCAGTCGTTTGACGAGATTACAGCCATGGTAAGGAAAACTAACCCCGTACAAGTAACACACCTGCGTGTTCCAGCATCTTCTTCTTTTTGTGGCAGTGCACAGCACTGCTGCCTTTCTCCTTCCTGTAGCCATTCGCTGTTTGAATGACTTGTCAAAGATGCGTGAGGAGAAGCCAGTGAGGCATGACATGTTCCAGGTCTCTGTGAGGCTGCTCTCTCAGACGCCGCTATCACGAGCTGTCATCTCTGGTCTGCTCGGCTGCTTCCTATCTGACATGCGTCTCAGAAGAGAAGTTGATCCGCGGGAAGGAAATTACAATATCACCATTTGCCCGTCAGTCTGAAGCTGCTTTCAGGCCCTGCCTTGACAGATAAATATCGCTTCTGCACAGCTTTAGTTTAATCCCGTCATGGTGTGAAAAGATAATGAGCCTTTGCACAGTGAGTTAGAGTCGTTGCTTGTTAAACTTGGGGCTCCCGAGCGAGTCATCCTTCATGAAAAATGAGTGTGGGCTCGGTATTTGAGAGTGGACTTGTTCTTTTCTGACACACATGTACTGTCACAGTGTTGGACTCTGAGGGCCAAGTTTCAATGCTCAGCTTATATCTCTAAGTAAGGACCATTTAAGGATAAGCAAGTCTTATTGAGAGACGCTTTTTAATAAACGATACTGTTGACGTTTCCTTTAGTGCCCCTCTGTTCTTTGACACGTAATAATCCAGGTATTTCCTCCTGGTTGCAGACAGGTGATGGTGTGAACGATGCCCCGGCCTTGAAGAAGGCAGAGATCGGCATCGCCATGGGATCCGGTACAGCTGTGGCAAAGTCAGCGTCTGAGATGGTGCTGTCTGACGACAACTTCTCCACCATCGTAGCTGCTGTGGAGGAGGGCAGAGCCATCTACAACAACATGAAGCAGTTCATCAGATACCTCATCTCCTCAAACGTGGGAGAAGTCGTGTGGTGAGACAAGAGCGCCGTGAGACGCAGCTGCCGGGCGGGGACTGTCTTCGTGTGCGGCTGACGTTTGTGGGTCTCTCCTGTGTCTGTCTGCAGCATCTTCCTGACAGCCATCCTGGGTCTGCCTGAGGCTTTGATTCCAGTCCAGCTGCTGTGGGTTAACCTGGTGACTGATGGCCTGCCTGCCACCGCCCTGGGCTTCAACCCCCCAGATTTGGACATCATGGATAAACCACCCCGCAACCCTAAGGAGCCACTCATCTCTGGCTGGCTCTTCTTTAGATACCTGGCCATTGGAGGTATTATTCACTCAGACGTGAATAAATTATTGTGCAGTTGTCACTGTGTGGGGTGGTGCGGTGGTTAGCACCGTCACCTCACAGCAAGAAGGTCTTGGGTTTGAATCCAGTCAGGGTTCTTTTAGTCTCTCGCTGCATGGGTACCGGGTACTCCAGCTTCCCTCCACGGTCCAAAGACATGCATGAGTTAACATTAACTGGTGATTCTAAATTGTGACTGGTTGACTGTGTCTGTGTGTTAGCCCTGCTGATTGGCTGACAGGGCTGTCTAAAGAGCTTCTGTGCACCTGCGCCCATTTTTTAAAATCTAATAGCAGAACAACTTGATGCATTTTCTAACACTTTATCGATGGTACTTTAGTTAACGTTGATTTTTCACACTATAAGGCGCACTTAAAATCCTTTAATTTTCTCAAAAATCGTCAGTGCAACTTATGTATGAATTCTGGTTGTGCTCACTGACCTCGAACCGGTTGTATGTCATACACTGCGCTCAAAACTCTGTCAAAAATGTTTTAGTACGACTTTGCTAAGCTACAAAGCCGCACCGCGTGATGGGTTGTTGGAACATCACGGCTGTAGTCAGGAGCCTCGCAGAGGAATCTGGGTCCTAAACTCCGTCTAATTCAGGTCCCAAAGTCAAACAAACACTGCAGCATCACTGAGAGTTAAAAACTGTCTAAATTCTTTCATCTTTAATAAAATCATCAGTGTTGCTGCTTTAGCAGGTGTAACTATGAAGTTTAACATCCAGGCATCCATGAGAACAGAATTTATTACACTTAACAGAGTTGGAAGTTAGCAGGAAGTTAGCTCGCTAGCTTCCACCTAAGCATGATATAGCATGTTCTGACTGAGAGATTTCTGAAAGAATTCAAATGTACAGCTCTGTTATCACTTCCAGCATAAATGAAGACAGAAAACTAAACAGCAGTGACGTTTGTAGGGTTACTGAAGTTGGGCTAGCTGGTATATAATGATGTGCGTGTGTGTGTGATTGCTAGCGACACAGCTATGTTAGCATAAACACAGTGAAGCTGCAGGATGAATGCTAACTTTTTTCCCACTCGATAAAAGTTAACGTGAAGGTTCCTGATGGTTAGAGACAAATGCAATCGCATGGCAGGATGCTGTAAACCATAGGTGTCAAACTCTGGCCCGCGGGCCAAATTTGGCCCGCAGCCTAATTACATTTGGCCCGCGAAGCCATACCAAATTACTATTAGAGCTGGCCTACTGGTATTATACAGCTAATATATATATTGTTTAGTATTAAGCTTTGCTTGTTGCATATTCAGTTTTCCAGCAAAACTTATTTGAGTCCATAAGAAAAGATTCATTCTTATATCTGGAGGAAGATTTTTTTTCCAATAAATATTAATGTTAGCCCGCAACTTTGTTCCAGTTTTGAATTTTGGCCCACTGTGTATTTGAGTTTGACACCCCTGCTGTAAACGGACCAAACTTCAGTCAGGAGAACAACTGAGATAATCCATCCACAATACCAGGTTAGTCATTAATATACTGCAACAACATGGGAATAGAGCAGCTGCAGAGGATTCAGCATTAATGAATCAATGGTACAGAAGTGGAGGAAGCAAGAAGAATGAGTTGAGGAAAGTTTGACTTATCTGACTGTTTGGTTTCGTTTAATGCGCCTTATGGGTCCGAAAAAATACTGTAACAAGATTTGAGATGTATTTAGTAAAACGGCGACTGTCAGTAGGCCTAGCATCTTTTTTTTTTCTTTTTTTCTTCTTCTAATCAATCACTCATGTCAGCATGTTTATTTTCCTGAACAGCTTCTCCTTTGTAAGGTTATTACATTTTATTCTTCGCACACTGAATAACTGTAACCTTACACTTTGTCTGTATAATATTAAATTTGTGACTGTGCGTCTATCAATATCTGGTTTTGTCTCACAGGCAAGAAACGGCAGCTCTTGTTTGTGTGTATAAATATAAATGTATGTCTGTGTTGTCTTGCAGGATATGTGGGTCTGGGAACAGTGAGTGCAGCCACATGGTGGTACCTGTTTGATGAGGAGGGCCCACAAGTGTCTTTCTATCAGCTGGTGAGTTGTAAAACCGTTTATCTGGCGTAGCTCCTGCCCTAGGAGAACATGAGCTGCATTGTTTCCTGTTATACTGTTTACCCCACCTCTATGCATCCTTTTCATTCGCTGCTATTTGATGCAGTAACGTTTGATGATCCCAGCAGCAGACAGGCATAGAAAGGGAATTGAGATTTCTGTGGATTGATTGCATGCAGAGCTGAAATGAAGCCAGGGTTTGGCAGCTGCCCCCCACCCAATCTGAGCAGAGTCCCATCAAACCAGGTCGCAACACACGATGCATGAGCGCACGCTAACTCTGCCTGTCTCTCTCTTCACAGCGACATTTCATGCAGTGCACTGAGGACAACCCCATGTTCAAAGAAATAGACTGCGAGGTGTTTGAATCTCGCTACCCCACAACCATGGCGCTGTCTGTGCTGGTCACCATCGAAATGTTCAACGCGCTCAACAGGTCAGTCGGCTTCAGAGCTGGTGTCAGAGTAAACGAGCCTTAAATGTCACAAACGTCAGAAATTTACTCAAAGAAAGCGACGCTGTCATTCGACGAGACAGAGCTCCCTTTGAGGAAGAACGATCCGTGCCAGAAAGGCCACGGCTGTCGCAAACATCAGCTGATTTTTGTTTTTATGTCCTCCACCTGAAGAATGTGCTTAAGCGCACATCTTAAGAAGAGAAATTATACTTTATTGAACGGAGCTATGAAGGGTCATTAGCTCTGTTTTGAAAGAAATGTCCAACTCGACGAGGTCTGATCACCACTTCAGATGGAGTCCAAAGATGGTCCAGCCTAACGCCGGCACATCTGTTCATTTTCATGCAGCTTGCTGGAATATTTTCATCAGTTGTTGTTTTGCAACCTGATCCTGAAATGTTAGCATGTTTTCATCTATCCAAACTTCTCCTTACAGTTTGTCTGAGAACCAGTCCCTGCTTAGGATGCCTCCCTGGGTCAATATTTGGTTGCTGGGAGCAATCATCCTCTCCCTCTCCCTCCACTTCTTAATCCTCTACGTTGAGCCTCTGCCAGTGAGTACACAGGACACGCAGCTCTTTGAGCGTTTAAAAAAACCCAAACACTGCATGCTAATAATCCTCAGCACTGTATCGTGGCTCAGATTCACGAGCCGTGTTTTATGAGTCCGATTCTTTTGCCAGTGATGACACAACTTGTCTGTCGTCTGCAAAAAAAGTAGGATGGCCCTGTAGGTGTAATGTAATGCAACAGCCAAATGAAACTACAAGTAGCTAAGTTCATAGCTAGCGTCGTGCAAAAAGCAGATACAGAAATGCTGTGAGTCAGACAGAAGGCGTTACAAAATAAAGGTTTCCATGGCTCCACTGGATTATGTTTTCTTGCAGGCTGATGTCTTTGCATTTTTCAAAATAGTTACAAAATATTAAGCTTGCATGTTAGAAAAGGCTTCTGCTGCAGCTTTGTCAACATCATCGTCTGATTTCTCTTGTCCTTCAGCTCATCTTCCAGGTGACCCCTCTGCGTTGGTCCCAGTGGATTGTGGTCCTGAAGATTTCCTTCCCAGTCATCCTACTGGATGAGGCTTTGAAATATTTATCCAGGAACCATCTGGAAGGTATGTTAAGTCCTACCTGTTTTTAATTTAATAAGCAATTTTTTTTCAAATCAATAAACGAATCTAATGATGCTTGTTCTGCTCTTTTTTCCTTCTCTTCTGCATTTCTAAATCAGCCTAAACTCTTTTAATCTCACCTTCTGTAAAAAGGTACCTGACTTTCTTTGTGCTGCTTTCTTCCGTCTCCATTCGAACCTGCCTGCTGTCCGATGGTTACGTGTTCTAAGCCTGTGGGTTTTTGTTTTGGCAGGTGATGAGGAGAAGAAGTATCGGAGGAGATGGCAGCTGAACTAAGACCTCTCCCTCAACACACTCACACAGTTAGACACACAGCTACCCTCTTCCCATTTTTGAGCTAGGAAACGTTTCTCTCCCCTGCCCTCGTTCCCCACTTCTGCATGTCCAACAAACCACCACTAGAAATGAGGGGTGGCTTGCATGAGAATGAGTGTGAGAAAGCGAGAGCGCTTGTGCTCCTGCAAGCATGGCTTTGTGCGAGTGCTGCGTGTGTGTGTGTGTGTGTGTGTGTGTGTGTGTGTGTGTGTGAGGACACAG